ATGAACATGACTATAAAATAATAATAATAATAATAATAATAATAATAATAACAATAATAATACACTTACTATTATAATAGTAATACTGTTTTGGATTATTACTACAGTAATATTTTATTATTATTATTATTATTATTATTAATAATAACAATAATAATAATGCATTGTTATTAAATAAACACATGAATATACAAATATTACATATATTATATTATTGAAAATAAAAAATATTAATCTTTTTAAAAAAATAAAAAATCTGTGCATTTAAGAAATAAATAAATGTAGCATTATGCATGCATATGTATAGCCAAGCAAACTGAGGCACTAAATGTCAGCTCTTTCTAATAAAACTTAGGGAAGATCCATTTTAGCGAATCTGTTCACTTGGACATTTCATTGAAATGCACAAGTTCATTAAAACTGTAAATTATATAATAATATCAATTATATAAATGACTGTGTTCTCTAGTTATATTAGGGGTATTTTGTGAATAAATCTGTTCAAATCTGTCAGCTTAATTAGGATTCTCATTGTTTTTGTGTCAGAAGAAAACTGCTCTGATTGCAGAAAATATTAAATTAATTCATTAGCTTGTAGTGTAACATGACTAGTTTAACTACTTGAAATTATAAGCACCATGTCATAAGCTTCCCCCCAACACTGGATTTTATACGTGTCTATATGATTAAGTGCATGTGTAAGTGGGTGTACACAAGAGCTTGCCTAAAGCTCCTTCCCTGTCAATTTATTTTAAATTGCAACCTTTTCTGCCCCACTTTCTAATCTTAGAGGAAAGAAATCAGACATCAAGCACTGCTGCCCATGAGGACCCTCAAATCATCACAAAGAACAAAAAAGATGAAAACGTGAAAATGGAAGGCTAAAAATGCCATTTACCCTCGTCAACCATCTGTAACATGCACATTTATGCAATTCTGCCCTGGCAACGTATAATTCAGAACTCTATTACCATTCCTAGAAGTGCACAGTATGCACAGGGACTTTGGACACCCAAGTGGACGCATGCACAAAATCATCGGTCATGATTAAATGACAGCTCTTTTGATTGGCCCTGATTTGTTGACAGCTCCGGCCAATCAGAGGAGAGAAATAGTAGGACAAATATCAAACATGAGAAACAGAGGGAGAGCAACAGTGAAAAAACACTAAAATTAGGCCAAGTGCTTTCGTCTGTCCATCAAAGACAGTGCAAACACATCTGAAAATGAACAGCCTCTTCATTAGTTCATTAGGCCCATAAAGATTTCAAAAAGTTATAAATCAAACACATCGCTAAGCTATAAACACAAAGTCTAGGCCATTCAAAAAGATACTTTGCTTTTCCTTCAAAAAACAAACCAGTGACCATAAATCTAAAAAATACACAGAAAGGAATAGTTCACCCAAAAATTTACATTTGCTGAAAATGTACTCGCCCTCAGGCCATTCAAGATGTAGAGCAGTTTCTTTCTTCATCAGAAGAGATCAATGCTTGCTCATCAATGGATCCTCTGCAGTGAATGGGTGCCGTCAGAATGAGAGTTCAAACAGCTGATAAAAACATCATAATAATCCACAAGTAATCCGCACCACTCCAGTCCATCAGTTAATGTCTTGTGAAGTGAAAAGCTGCATGTTTGTAAGAAACAAATTCATCATACAACTCTTGTTTCCGGCTAAAATACAAGTCCTCTATTCATAATATTGCTTTTCTCAGAGAATAAGACATCTAATCTCAATCAGGTGAGAAATATGCTCAGATCAAGCATAGTTTACAAGCAAACAGTTCTAAACTAATATTTTAGTGGATTTTGATGTGAGAGGATAATAGGGGATTAACTTTTCACTGGAGACGTCTACACCTACATCTTGGATGGCCTGAGGGTGAGTACATGTTCAGCAAATTTTCATTTTTGGGTGAAATATTCCTTTAAAAGGATATTTCCCCCAAAAAAGAACCTTTCTCAAAATAACCTGTGCACATTGCTACCCAAAATCAGATGTTTTTGGCAACAAGTTTAACTACCTAATATTACTCTAACTGAAAGTACCGGCACACATTCCCTCACTTAGCATTTTGAAGTGTGGCATCGGAGGGATGATTGGTCTCCTCTCCGAGTGCAATAAGACTGTGTGTCTCAGTCACGGATGTATTTTCACTGGCGGAGCTTGTCTCTGAAGCCCTCAGAGAGCAGCAGTAATGAGAGGAATGGATTGTATTGATGCTAGTGACCCCGCGGTCCACAGAGGAATAAAACGAAACAGTGGCGACTGACATGCTTCATTACACATCCTGTGAGAACGCATTTAGGTGCCCTCATCCCCACCTGAGTCACCCTTCTCCTTCTATCTTCCACCTTTTCTTGCTCTGCCCGTAGAGAAAATAAAACACAAATGAGACCTCCTTATTAATACATGAGACTAAATGGAAAGCAAAGGGAGAAATGTGCTTAAATCCCATGTTTTTCAGAGTTTTCTTCTTATAAAAATGTCCTAATCTCACACTCGTGCCAAGGTCAATATCAACTAAAACGTTTACTGCACATCAACAGTTGTCTCATTTGAAAAAAAATAATTTTACAAGCAATTTTCAGAGATGAAGTTATTAATGTAATGAAACTTAAATCAGAACCCAATTAAGTCCCACATGAATGAGACAAGTCTGAGCAATTAAGTTTTTTTCTTCTTCTAAGGCCGTTCTAAAATTATTTTTATATTATATTATATTATATTTTAATAATAATTATTCTCAGTTCCATCATCACAGAATTTGGGATGCTCTACACTGGCAGCAATCTGAATAACACTTACCACGCAAAGAAGCACACTTCAAAAAAATCCCTAACTGAGAACTCCATTAGGTCTCCTGAGCTATGAAAGAGCAACCTCTGAGCAATACAATTTTCCTGTGGGTACACTCTTAAATTACTCCTTTTCATCAGGTCTTTTGCATCCTTGGTGTAATTCACTGAACACTGTATTAAGTGCCGCCTACAATCAGAGAGAAGAGACAGATATTGGCGCGTCTCCACCGGGTTTAATGACAGAAGGATCATGCCGCGGCCCAATTTCCTCCCCTGATTAGACAATCAGATCCTGATGACATCAACATGCACAGATGGTGCTTCTTCAGCCGTTTATTTATTAACGAGTGCTTGTGTATTTTTATCAGATGGGGCCTGATGCTAGTGCCCCCAATAGAGAAAAATTACTAGACTTTGATGTTTTCGGCTGGATTTTGTTTGATGCTGTTGATGAGCCCTTTCCTTAAAACAGTGCTCCTCAACTGGCTTTGCTTCAGGACCCAGATTTTACTTTGGACATCAAGTGACGACTCAACACTGTCCTAATCGGGCATGATGCAATAAAGCATCATAAAGCCTGTAAATCTGAGTTTTTATTCTAATCAGCCATAACTATAACAATCTAAGAGCAATACTATGAGAAAAAAGAGAATACGCCCATTGAGTATATTATTAAATAATAAAAATTATAAAACAATATTAAAATCATTTAAATAAAATGAAGAATAATTAAGAAAAAGGCCAATATTCAAGCTCTTAAAGCAAAAAATATTCCTCTGAACCACAACAGCTCATGTTTTCACCAGTTAAGAACCATTGCCTTAAATAACCACCATCGCCTTCTGAAAACCATCATCCAATTCTGGGAAAAGTGCTTTCACTACAGCAATCCTAAACTTCTTTAGTGGCTTGAAAGGAGCACACTACCCCCATTTATAAGGATGTAGCGTCTTTCCAGTGGAGTGTCTGGAAGCCGGAGTGCTTTGGTGTCAGATGTAGTGTGTAGGGAGCAAATGGGGTTAAATAAGCTGGCGTGGAGAGACACAGTTGTGTAGCTGACTCTATTGTCTTTAAGGGTGCTGTGAGACAGAGGTTGTTGAGCGCTGCAGGAGACGGCTGAGTGAGAGTGACAGCAAACTTGATTGCCATTTGTCTCACTGTGAACTACTGCCTCGCTTCCAAGAGAGAAGGGCTGAGAGAGAAAGAGATAGACTTCGAGACAGACGGAAGCTAGAGTGCCTTCTCCATATAACAAAAGTCCAACAGAGAGAAGAATGAGGGGAAAAAATTGAGAGGCTGCGATATGACTGAAGGAAATGGATCTTGGGAGCTGCTGAAAGATAGCAGCTGAAAAAGAAGCTGATCACCCAAAAATGAAAATTGGCTTATTATTTTCTCACCCTTACGTTGTTCCAAACCTGTATAATGTTTATTTCTCCATGTAATACTTAAAGAAGAAATGTTGAAGCGTCTTTTTTCATACAAAATCAACTGACAATATCTGTCGATCTATAAAGGGAGAAAAACATACCATAAAACTACTTTAAACTTAAGAACAACTTAAATTTTGGACTGTTCCTCACACATGGCTTTAGAAGACTTGGAACATAGGCAAAAATCTTCATAAAGTGCAACAGTGTCTGCCCACTTTTTCAGTAGCCTTAGATTCCAGTTATTTTTCCCAAAGGGATTTTCTTTGTTAAAAGAAAAGTCTTTGTTAAAGAGCTATACTCCATGAACCAATCTAAGCAGCTATGAGATGAATCACATTATAAACTTTGATTTAAAGCAAAAAAGAATGAAAATTGGGCAAAAAGACAAAGGTAGAAGACTGTGCAACTTTAATGAGGGAAAGAACTACAATCCCATGAAGCTTTGCAAATTATCTAACTGAATTAAAAATCACATATAAATATAAAATGGTTGATTTAAAGATGTTGATTGTGTTTAGTGAAACTATATATTTGGTGTTTATTGCAGAACCTGACTGTTGTACTACCCTACAGTGCACTTTAATGGTGTTTTATGTCCGTTTGGACACATGCTCCATGGAAGAAATAACAGCACACAAGTCTGGAATGACAATAATGACAGAATTTTCATTTTCATGAACTATTCCTTTAAAAATTCCTCAACAGAAGAGAAAGAGAGAAAGACAACATGAAAGAGTGAGGCATTGAGGTGTAATTCCGTACCTGTGGGAACGGCCGCATCCATGGAGGGTCTCTCCCAGGTGTTGACTTGCTCCCAGGCGAAGCCATTAGTCCCCAACGCCACGCTGTAGCCGCAATTACTGTAGTGCTCTTCAAACGAACAGCTGCCTACAGAACACACACGAGAGAGAAGAGGGGAAGATGGCATATGTCAACATGATTAAGCCACGGAGTGCCATCATTACTTCATCTTCGCTAAAAACACGATTTTCCAACGCATTAAGCTTTATGCTAGCCGGGAGCTAAGGATTAGAAAGCCAGGATGAAATAGCACTAATTAAATGTACTCGTTTTTACACAACTTCTTGTATCGTAGCTTTGAGAGAGGGTTTATTTAAGCAGCAAGGTGCAAGAGGCTGTGCTGTACTGTGAATATAGACATGACTAAACGGCCATTGCTATTTATGACGTGTAGTGGAGTGACAATACAGCACAGCCTTGACTTACGGTTTTTATGAAATTGTTACCACATAATAAAATAAATCAAGATCACAGATTTTTATTAAAATACTATATATTATAAAGCTAATTAATAAAATATATAGTCTCTGAACATTGAAATTAAATATTTTATATTTTATTAATAAATATTTATACATCATGGTATTATTTTTTTGTAGTCAACTTAATTTTGAAAGGTGCAGTATTTTCTGATTGAAATTACCAATGAAAATATTAATTGGTAATTTCATAAAATAATTTTATGACGCGACAAGAATACTTTTTGTGCGCAAAAACAAAAATAACGACTTTATTCAACAACCTCTTCTCTTCTGTGTCATTCTCATACGTTTTTTACGTCCAGCACTTCCAGGTTCTACGTCAGAATGCCGGCTCATTATTGGACGGCTCCTGCATCAGCATCATGCAGCTTTGGCCAATAATGAGCCGGCGTTCGGACGTAGAACACGGAAGCCTTCACTGTGCTTACTGCGTTAACCGCGTAAGGATAATGACAGGGAAGAGGAGAGATTGCTGAATAAAGTTATTATTTTTGTTTTGTTTTTGCGCACAAAAAGTATTCTCGTCGCTTCGTAAAATTATTGTAGAACCACTGTAGTCACATCGACTGTTTTAACGACATCTTTAGTACCTTTATGGATCTTGAAAGTTTGGGTGGCGTTGCTGTCAATGGAGGCCTCTCTGAGCCATCGGATTCGATCAAAAATATCTTAATTTGTGTTCTGATGATGAACGAAGGTCTTAGGGGTGTGGAACGACATGAGGGTGAGTAATTAATGACAGAATTTTCATTTTTGGGTGAACTAACCCTTTAAAAGCTTTTCTTCATACAAAAATAATTAGAATTTCGGATTTGTTTTTGGGGCAAAATGTGATCTGAACATTTTTTCTGAGATCGTTTTTGTGCCTCTACAATAGCTGATGAACAGGTTTTCAAATAAAATTCCTATACTATTACTGGAATACTGTATTGACCAATCAGCATATTGCATATAACTATGCATTTTACAAATATTTTTTTTGTTTCCTTTCAGACTATTTTCGTTGCTGAATCTTTACAGGGTGGGCTGAAGGTGTCAGACAGCCTTATTCGATTGGACGTTACTTTCTGTACCACCCAACATGGAAATCGTTTTGGTCTGTGTGCATGTTAAGCGCTCAGATTCAACATGATGAAACTTCTGCCTGCAGGATACTTACATTTACATTTCTGCATATTTCAAGGACCAAATATTCATTGCCGTCTTAATTTGCCCCTGCGTATTAAGCTACACAAGAGGATTAAAATGCTACAAAAATAATTAATTTGCCACGAGTGCCGAAAGGCGATGAATCCTACAATACCAGCAAGACTCGCAAACCACATCAAAGGTATTCTGAAAGAAATCGCACAACCACTAAAAAACAATAATAGTAAAATATTCAAAATTTTCCAGGGGGAGCGATCCGATAGCCTCGTGATTTGTTGAAGGAAAAAATTAACCATTCAAAGACGTGATTTTGTGAAACACGTCTGCCCGCTGGGGTTCAGTTAAACAGCAGCAGAAAAAGAAATGAGGTCTCCTGCAGTTTATCGGTTCCTAATTGCCTTTGAAGTGTGCACATTCATACTGCCACCCTGCTCGTCCCCGGCCTACGCTGGGAAAAGATTATGTTTTCATACTCAGAATCAAAAATGCCAAACAATTAGCATAGAATAACACCGGCAGAAGTAATGATGATGAATGTGTCGGGGAAAAACAGTAAGATTAAACTGCATTAACATTTTAATAACCTATTGATAAACTAGTGTTTTCTGTGATTTCGGTTTAAGAGATGAATTTGGCGACACTGACTCGTCATCTCCACAGCGCCTGCATGCAAGTTTCATACGGATTACATAATCTGAGAATATTTTTTTTTTTTTCAGATTTGAATTGTTTCATTTGAAAGTAGACATTTCACAGATATATTTTTCATGTCTGTAAGGCAAGTATACACAGAGTTCCACGCTCAAGTTCACAGAGGTCGAGACGGCAGAAAGCGCATCCTGTTTGCTTTCATTATTTCACAAAAGCGCAAGGTTTTGTTGTTATAGTGAGCGCACACAAATAAACGTAGAGGCTTTACAGATTCGAAAGATGTATTACTCTTGTCTGTATGACCAAAATGACGGAGTATTTTAAGAGCAAGTGACCGCACCGGCGCCTCCATCTGTTCTGCAGTGAGCGCGCTACTGTTCAGCTTCCACACTCCGCACAGACACTTGAATAGCGCACATTTTTCTAGGTTAACATTAGATTGAGCGGCCATGTAAAGTTGCTACTACTTGCATATTTCAGATGATAAGCCATATTTGAGGTCGAGGATTGACGATCATTAACGATCTGTCCGTCACAGACTACGTGACCTCACCACTTCCTGAGGAATTTTTTTTTCTGCAACTAAGCGACTAATAAAATGTTGGTTCGACCAAGCCTCTTCTCGTCGACTAAAGGTTAGTCGACTATTAGGGGGCAGTCCTATTAAAAACACAATAAAATCAACCTGTAAATTCCATGAACTCTATGTCCTATGAACCGCTAAGTATTCTTAAACATTTCAAGTCATTTATATGTAATGAAGTTTTTGTTTTACAGTATCTGCTGTCAGCAGTGTCTATCCAAATGAATGGAAATGTATTAGAATGTGCTAGAACCATACTTCACATCCAAATATTTACAAGTACTAATGAGATCACATTGCACACACACTCACACACAGATATAAAAAGCATAAGTTCTTCATTTCTCCTCTAATTAATGTTGCCTACCAATTTGATCCATTATTGATAAGTTGCCCCACACCAGACAAGCAACAGTTTCCAATCTCAGCAGCGGCAGACATGGCAGCGGTACGAGCTCGACTCGTCCCTCAAATCTGCTGCTCACGGCTCCGCACCTCTCACAGCTCAACTGGCATATGCCCTACCGCTGGCACGCTGTCAATATGATGTTTATCGAATCTAGCGCTCGTGCTGCCCTATCAGGAGCACTTGATGAACTTAGAGATGATTTCACAGCACAAGAAAGGAAGAAGTGAGATTTGGGGTGGATGGGTAACATCTGCTAGATTAACCGAAGGGTTTGTTTACACTCTGAAAAATAACTGGCGTGTACAGAAACAGAGGTGTCACAGTCTTTACTGTTCTCTTAATAAACACATTAACTGCAACATGAATACATCTTATAATGCCACTAATTTACTTTCAAAATATAATAGACAGAACAGACAGAAACAACAGAGTGACAGACAGAATGAGAAAATGATAGAACAATAGACAGAACGATAGAATGATAAAACAACAGAGAGATAAACAGGCAGAACAAAATGATAAAATAACAGGATAACAGACTGATAAAATGGTAAAACAACAGAAAGAATGACAGACAGAAAGATAGAATAATAAAACAATACACAGAATGACAGAATTATAAAACGAGAGACCGAACGATAGAATAAAACAACGGAGAGAATGATAGAGCGACAGACAGACAGATAGAATTACATGAACTAACTACTGAAATGAGAGTGTGTAAATGTTTAATTAGATCTTACCTTTATTAAGATCTTAGTTAATTGATACTGAAGTTACGTTCATGTTTGGGAGTTTAACTGTATTAGTCATAAGCATATGCTGTCTTTCTTGGCCCTCACCAGCGGCATTTCCAGTCGAGCAGACAAATTGTTGGTTTCAAACTAAAGTGATTATGTCCACCCCACTAAGCACAGATAATAGCTCAGATATCTGTTGTTAATGCAGCGATCAAAGTGCTGTTTAATATCTCATCATCTGTATATAGTTTATTTTCTGTTCCAAGCCACATTCAAATCTATCCACCCCAGATATACATGACAAGTATTGACAAGTATAGATAGAAATTCATCTATACTTGTCAATACTTCAAATTCATCATCATTCATTTGTTCTCTCTCTAATCCAAATGTTGCAAACAAAACATTACTTTTTTTTAAATAATTTGGTTATTGATTTACATACTGTATTTTTCATGTGTCCTCAATATCACTTTCTATCCTGTAAAAATCCTTAACTAACCAAAGCCAGTTCCTAATGACATCATGACATCACTGTGATGGGAAAGCAACTACACAAAATGCAGTTGCTATCAATACCGTATTTGATGAATTGTGTTTTTTTTTTTTGTAGGAATTGCTTGGTTTTTGTCAAAACCATATTCAAAACAATAAATAAATTATATATATAAACGGCATTTAAAAAAAAAAAATTAGTTCCCGCCAAAATCAGTATTGTATCTGGTCGGTATTGAAAAGTTAATTTTTTATTTTACACAAAATGCAATATCCTCCGTGTTATTCTGTCATGTTTTCTCCCTATCTTTCCAAACCGTGACAAACGCCAGTCTCCCTTCTCTGCAGAATGCGATACATCCACTCAACCAATCACAGTGCACCATTCCACGCATTGTGAACAGTAACTGACAAGCTACGCAATATCACGTTCATAATCGCAGATAAATCGCCTTCGATTATGAATGCGATATTGCATAGCTTGTCAGTGATCTACGGCTCTGTGTATTAAATGCCGCTCCATCTGAAAGCACGTGATGGAGTTTTACTACTAATCACAGAACCGGCTTTACTGACGA